AGTTGGAAGGGACCTACAATGATCATCTAGTCCAACTGCCTGACCAGTTCAGGGTGGATCAAGTTAAAGCATGTTGTTAAGGGCATTGTCCAAATGCCCCTTAAACACTGACGGGCTTGGGGCATCGACCACCTCTCTGGGAAGCCTGTGCCAGGGTTTGAACACCCTCTCGGTAAAGGAATGCTTCCTCGTGTCAATTCTGAACCTCCCTGGCACAGCTTTGAGCCGTTCCCGGGTGTCCTGTCCCTGGATCCCAGGGAGAAGAGATCAGCATCTCCTTCTCCACATCCCCTCCTCAGGAAGCTGTAGAGAGCAATGAGGTCACCCCTCAGCCTCCTTCTCTCCAAATGAGGCAAACCCAGAGCCCTCAGCCGATCCTCATAGGACATGCCTTCCAGCCCTTCACCAGCTTTGTTGGCCTTCTCTGGACACATTCGAGGACCTTCACATCCTTCTCAAATGGTGGGGCCCAGCACTGCACGCAGTACTCCAGGTGAGGCCGCACCAACACTGAATACAGCGGGATAATCCCCTCTCTTGACCGGCTGGTTTTGCTGCATTTGATGCACCCCAGGATGCGGTTTGCCCTCTGGGCTGCCTGGGCAGCCTGGCTCCTATTGAGCCTGCTGCTGACCAGCACCCCCAGATCCCTTTCTGCAGGGCTGCTCTCCAGCCGTTCCTCTCTCAGTTTATGGGTTGTCCTTGGAAACCTGTTAGCGGGTCCAGAGGAGGCCACAGCAATGGTCAGAGGGCTGGAACACCTCTCCTGTGAGGACAGGCTGAGAGAGTTGGGGTTGTTCAGCCTGGAGAAGAGAAGGCTCCAGGGAAACCTTATTGCGGCCTTTCAGTACTTAAAGGGGGCTTATAAGAAAGATGGAGAGAGACTTTTTAACAGGGTCTGTTGCAATAGGGCCAGGGGTAATGGTTTTAAAATAGAAGAGGGCAGATTCAGACTAGATTTAAGGAAGAAATGTTTTACACTGGGGGTGGTGAAGCACTGGCCCAGGTCGCCCAGAGAGGTGGTAGATGCCCCATCCCTGGAGGAAACATTCAAGGTCAGGTTGGACGGGGCCCTGAGCAACCTGATCTAGTGGAAGATGTCTCTGCGTATGGCAGGGGGATTGGACTAGATGACCTTCCAGCCCAAACCATTCTATGATGGTTCTATGAAACCCTCCAGGTGAAATTTCTTGCACAACTGAGGGAGCATGAAGTCATCAGTTCTGCTTAAAAGCAAAAATATTTTTATCATTTAATCAATATCCTGTTATTTGCTTTATATATAGACAAGTGGTGAAGGGTCTAGAGCACAAATCCTATGAGGAGTGGCTGAGGGAACTGGGGTTGTTCAGCCTGGAGAAAAGGAGGCTGAGGGGAGACCTCATCGCTCTCTACAACTACCTGACAGGAGGTTGTAGCGAGGGGGGGTCGGTCTCTTCTCCCAAGTAACAAGCGAAAGGACGAGAGGAAACGGCCTCAAGTTGCGCCAGGGGAGGTTTAGATTGGATGTGAGGAAAAATTTCTTCACTGCAAGACTTGTCAAGCATTGGAACAGGCTGCCCAGGGAAGTGGT